CTCTCTCTCTCTCTCTTTCTCGCTCACTCTCTCCTCCCAAGTTCGGACCTGGGTGTGAAAGTTCATGAAAAAAGGACCCCAAGATGAGCGTGGTATTCCATGGGGCCTGGTCCCTTACGCATCCAAATGGGCTTGGCCCTGCCTCCAACAATTTTGGGGCACACCCATGGGTCCTTTTCCTCTCTTCCCGCACCTAGCCCGGCCATGCCCTGTGTGAGCAGCAGGAGCTGCGGGCGGAGCCGCGAGGCGGACATCATGTACACTGGGCACATGAGGGGGGCATGGGGAACATGCAGTTACGAAAGTGTCCGGTGATTCATCGGACATTGGTGGAACATGAACCTCTCCCCCATTGCACCCAAAAAAAAAAAGGGGAGGCCCCCCTTCCAGACTTCCAGTCTCGCTGCAGCAACATCGATCGCACAAGAAAACACACAGCCCAACATAAGCCCTTCTACTCATCTGCCCATATCTGCTCAACGTGGCATCGGCAAGGGTGCTCAACTTTAAGGACTGATAGGTCTTCCCCTCTCAAAACTCCATCCACTCCCCCCCCCCACCGTCCCACAGGTAAGCCTTGGCAAAAGGGACGGCCAAAAAAAAAAGCACCTGAAGGAAAAAGCCACCCCACGCTCGCCAGCTCGCCGACGGAAAAATAACCCGAGACAAAACAAAAACCCACTACCAAAACGCCTAGCCTTGATGTACACCTCATGCCAGGAAATGCCACTAACAACACCAAACGATGTATACGAAAGTACCCTTAGCAAGTTTGCGATGTTGATCGGACCACCGACTTCAGCGGGAATGCGCCTAAATCCCCCGCAGCGTGAACCCCAGAAGTTGGCCTGGGAAAATCCGGGCCGGGATGACGAGCGTTTTCGAGGTCCCCTGGCACATCAGCATCGGCTGAAAGCGACAAAGTCCTGGCTCCGGCCGAGCCTGGGGTCTGAGAGCTCGGGGTCTTCTTGGCGAGCTAACCCCGTTTCTTGTGGTTTTTTAGGGATGACCAAAAGGAGACAACCACCCCAGTATTTATTTTTGGGGTGTCCAAGAAAAGAGACACACCCAAATGGGAATGAGCAGCGGCACGTCGAAAACCTCCAGCAGTAACCTCAAGTCGGCTAGCGCGCCCGCAACAGTGGTAGCGTCATCCGAATTTTAGCAAAAACAAACACACAAAACCACACGCCGCAACACAACACACACACACACCACACACCCCACCAACACAACCTCACACACACACCACTCAGCTTGCAAATGTCACTGGCAAGCCACCCTGTTCTTCAATGCTGGGGTACCCTCTCCCCACGCGCCGCACAACTTGCGCAGCTCGGCCGTGCACGGGATCCGTGGTTCATGGCTATGGCCATGGGAAATTGCTGAAGCGCTGCTATGATTATCCATGGCTCTGTTGAGAAACACGAACAAACGATCCCCGCAAAAACGGCCATGGGCGCTTCTCCAGCCGCCCAACATGGAGAACGCTCTTGCAACTCCTGCATCACATACGGCTTACAGCTGGCGTCTTTACTGACAGGCTCAGCGAGGTGGAAAAAGGTAGCTTTTTTCACCATTGTGCGGCCCAGACCATTGATACTCTCTCTCCCCTCCTCTGCCTTTTCTGCCACAGACTTGGATGCGGGCAGTTGTTGTTTCAAATGCCGGGTTGAGAGTACAAGCAAACAGTCAGGATTCCACTGCCTCTTGGCTTTCTATAGGAACTTTTCCCTCAGTTTTTTGAAATGTCTCAAGACCCTGCAGGTCCATCCCGGTCTGGCTTGCCACCATTCCCATCTCTTCTGCGCCATCGAGATGATTTCTGCCAAACATCAGATATCACCTGCTCCTCGTTGCTGCTGTGTCTTCCGCCTCTTGTTGACAAACCTCCCCGCCCAGTTGTAACTTCTCAGCCAGCTCGTGCACTTGCCCTCAACACCTTTGAGCTCTTACTGTCACCTTCCAATCCGGTCGCGTTTTCAGCATGTCATCCTCAGTTTGCGGCCGCACGCTGCAGGTCGGGCTCACCGTTCGTTCCAGAACGGCAGCTGCAGCCCGCTGAGCTTATATATCCGCTTTGCTCGCCCTCCCCTGTCCGCATGCGCCACGCGCGCCTCCACTTCGCGGAGGTGCTGTTTATGGGCTCCGCCGCCTCCACCTGCCTCTGCGCAAGCGCCTGTCAACCCTGCCTGCCCCGCCTGCGCCTCCTCCATGCGCTTTGCCTCAGAGCTTGGATCTTTCCGCGGCCGCTTGGGCCGCCGCGGACCGCGCGGCTTTCCGCGCCCTGCTGCGCGCGCGCGACGCGCCTCTGCCTGAACTTGCGCGAGGCTCCGCTCCGCCGCGGCACCCGGGGTCCCTCGCCCCGCGCCGCGCCTCCGCCAACGCCGCCTCCGCCAGCGCCAGCTCCGCGGCCTGACGCTCCTCATCCCGCGCCGCGCGAGCCCGCACAGCGTCCACCACGGCGGCGGCGTTGGCCCGGGCCTGGGCTGTCACCACAGCCCGGGCCTCCTCCGCCTGGCGGACCCGGGCCAATGCCGCCTCCTCAGCCAGCTCCCGCTGCGCGGCGTGCTTTGTCAGGCGCTCCTGGGTGCGGGTCTCCATGGCAAGGGGGCGGGGCTCAAACATCTTTCACAACGTGCGTGTGGCTGGTGCCTGGCTGATAAGCACGACTTTTGCCCATCCCTATGCTTCTATCTGACTTTCACTTTCATGGCCCAGTGATCATGCAAATGATGACACGAAGCTTCTCAGCCAAGGCGGCAGAAACCTATGCTGTCAACGTCAAGACATATCCAAGCCATCCCCGTGACTCACGCGCACAGCATGCCCAGGCAGCCAAGTTGCTAGAGAGGTTGGCAGAAGCAACCTGTGCGGGCGATCTATCAATCTCGCGCAGACTACGGCTGCCGGCTTGTTGTTCCTTGAACTACTGGGCAGTCTAATTGTGGCCAGCCCAGCTTGCGTCTGCAGAAAGAGAAGGGACTAATCAGTAAAAATATGAATTCAGCTGTTGGCTGGCTGCTCGCACACGGCTCACATCAAAAGCGAATGTTGTCGCACGCCCTCTTAGGCACAAAGCACTCTTTCCAAAATTAGCACTTGGGGTGGGGCCCAACTTCCGATGGGATAAATGCAAACTTTGCCACCAAACTGCAGATCAGAGGTTGAAAGACATGGTCGCCTTACAGCTGCATCCCGGTAAGCAAAGAGACCCAAGCTATCACATCACAAAATGCTCACCTGCTGTCGCAACTCCCTTTGTTGAGCTGAACTGATGCATCTGGTTTGACAAGCCGCCGGCCTTGGACGCCCATGCCGGGAGTCATGCTCCAGTTGAACACGTTGCGTCGATGACATTGTCGTCTTGTTCGCCCCTTCCTTTTGATGGGCATGGAGAGAGGTGAACATGTCGCAAATGACAAACCTTTCTTGGGCTATGGAGGAAGCACAAAGGAGACTTTCATGCTCAAAGGCGATGGTTGCGAAACGGCCCCACCCAGTTCCTTACCCACTCATCAACACGGGCACGAATTCGGTGGGGATTCACGACTTGGAGGGTGGCTCCCTAATGCTGAGCCCTCATCAATAAACCCCCCCTTCCCAAATCCAGGGATGAAGTATCCCCTGATGTCTCACTGAGGAAATGACCCCTTATAAAACATCCCCTATGGCTTCCTTTAAGAAAATCCCTCCCGGTTCATTCACAAACCCTGACTCGGTGATCCCCTACCTCTCACACCAGGAAGATAACTCGGGGGTTTTCCCCACCTATTTAAACCCATTTTTAGTGGGGAATGCTTTCTTCCAGAAATACAACCACCTGATTTGTTTTCTAACTAGGGAGGGTTGTTCCTCAGTGGTCAACATTTGCCACCCCATCCCCCCTCCCTTCGCCTCCGCAGCGCGGCCGTACAGCTCCCCCACCTCCGGGCTCTCCGACTTCACCTCCCAGGCTGTAATTCGTCTTCCGCTGGGAGGCGACGTGCAGTAGTTGGGCGGCTCGTCTGTTTTTTAAAGACGCCGTGTTTGGGAACCAAACGGAAAGGCCGAAATCCTTTTTCGCGGGGTCCCATTTACAAAAGCAAGAAGACAAACGAGCCACCCATGCATTTTGCAGGCTGCGGCAATCTGGGGTAAGCCAGCCTATGTCGCAGGAAGCCCCAAATGGTGCTGAACATCCACAGACGCGTAAAATCCGGCTGGCATTGAGGCACAACCTAAGCCAGGAAGGCCTCAAAGTCGCAAAACCTTTTTCTAAACGTCTTCGACGGAATCCACCCACATTGAAACTGTTGCTTGAAATGGAGAAGCGCCCCGAAGCCCTTTCTGCCAACAACGACTCATTTGCCCCGAACTCGCAGTTCGAGTTTCTTTCAGCACCGGTCGGATGTCCAGCCCGCGAAGGCAGGGCTCGATTGCTGTGAGGCCACCAAGTTTTGGACAACCCCCCCCTTCTTGGGAGGTAGCCACCAGAAGCGATGCACTTGACCTCGCATCCCCACAGGTTCCTCGCCGGCCCTAGCTGGCCCTAAGGAAGCCAAGACACCCCTCGGACACGAACATCCCACGTGCAAGCCATCCAACCAGAAAGGCAGGTGGGTGTGCCTTTTTGTTGGGGAACCCTCTTTTGGTTGTTTTAAGTGGCAACCAAAAGTAAAACCACCAGTTTCTGGCTCCCCTAAAAAAAAGATTCCGTTCGGTGTCGCAATGCACCATGCCCTTGACATACCCAGCCTCTTCCAAAGAGATTCCATACTCAGACATCAATTGGAAAGCACGTCACACTTACCCAGGCAGAGGCCAAAGATTGAGAACTCTCTCAACAGCATCCCACAGTGAGAATGGGCGGTCTGCGTTTTGCAAAAATCAAGCGTGTTTGAGCAAGGACGTCCCCCGAACCCCCACAAGCCCTCTACACCCCAAACCCCCAAACCCCACTGAAACCTTTTGGCCTGCTAAAGTGCTCAACCCCCACCCCCCACCCCCCACCCGCACAGCTAGCCCCTGCCGCCCTTTCGGCGGCCAACGGCCTTGAGCATCGCAAAGAGCAGCTTCGAGATGTCATCCATGTTCCACCCGGGCAAGGCCTCCGTTTCCCGTCGAGCCCCGTATCAAGCTCAGCTGCTTCCGGGCTTGTGGAACTTGGACTCCCCTACCGGGTGTATATACATGGGCTCATTTCTTGCAGAGTTGCTGACATGCGACAACTTGCGCAGAAGCTCCACTCCCGGCTATGAGACAAACCGCAGAGTTGACAACTTCTTGCGAGGATTTGCGCCCTTAGACTGGCTTGCCTCTATTAAGCAACCCGCGTCTTTCTTTGGGGCGTGTGGTTGCGCTATTTGCTCCATTCCATGTTTGATTTTGGATTGCTGCTCACAATGCTTTCCCTGGCCCTTATTGGGCTGGGATCACAAAGCACGGAAGAAGTACTGCAGTGGCAGCAGCAGTGGCAGCAGCAGTAGCAGTAGCAGTAGCAGTAGCAGTAGCTGTGGCAGTAGCTGTGGCAGCAACAGAGGCAGCAGTAGTGGCAGTAGCAGTGGCAGTAGCAGCTGGTGGTGATGGTGCTGGTGGTGGTGGACCGTAGTCTTAGTACTGGCTGCGGTCGTTGTCAATGCTGATGTTGCCGCTGCAACATGTGAGCGCTGAGGGGCCCCGAAGTCCGGGCTTGGGGTTTGACGGGATCCACTGCGACCCAAGCCCCAGATCAAACCACTGGCACTGCTTGCAGCTTGCTTGAGGAAGAGCTTCCGGCTCCGCCCAAGCCAAGATGCAGTCCAGTCGGAGCCCGTTGCTTGGGCTCCCTACGCCGGCGCAGGCTTTGGCCACTGTGGGCAAAATCACCTCCGCCACCGCTTTGGACCTGCAAGTCTTCGATGGGATGGGAGGGGGAGGCCGTTAGGGGTTGAACACTGGGAGGATCGATGATGATAAATCACTCAAGAGGACCTTCAAGAAGCGATAAGACCCCACACAAAAAATGCGGCCTGCCGCGTGACTCGAAAAAGGAAAAAGGAAAAAGGAGTGTCAGGGGACTACCAAAGATGAGGCCGCAAGCGAATGACATGTGGCGGTGGCCCGCACGGGAGTGACAATCGGAGGCTTGGTGTGCAAAGGGGCAGGTCAAATGCTAAGGCGCTGATGGCCTCGTGGCCACTCAAACAAGGTAGAAGCGTCAGAGCTGAGTCCCCATATCGGGGAGCAACCGTCGTAGAAGGTGGATTCAAGTTCACATGGCCGTGACCTGTGTAGCTGCTTGCCAACTCCTTGGCTGATCTCGCCTCAGTCCGGTCACCTGCTTTCTGGCAGAAGGGGGGTCGGTAGGCCTTGGCTAGGCCTATGGAAGGGGGGTCGGCAGGCCTTGGCTAGGCCTACGGAAGGGGGTCGGTAGGATTTGGCTAGGCCTACAGAAGGAGGGTCGGCAGGCCGGGCTAGCCCGGGCCAGGCCTATGCATGCCCTAGCTGTAGACCTTGCCTAGGCCTACACTTGTTGGAAGCAAGGCTTGTGCCGGGAGATATGTATGAGAAGGGGGGGCTATCAAAGGGGCTTTCAAATTGGCTGGGGGGGCAGACAAGGTTCCCTATGTTTCTGCCTTACACGCTATCCTACGACAAGGATCAAAAAAATAGAAATCTATTACACAAAGAGAACTTAAACCCTACATGTATTTGCGCCCACCCAAGAAACTCACCCCAAGCCCTGAACTCCCAAACGGTGTCTCCCCATTTTGGGGGGCCGACCTACATCACCCCGCCCAGATTTGTCACGCTGGGGCCCCAGACTTGGCGCAAGCCTCCCCCAGCTTCACCAGCTGCCTCAGAAGGAGGGGCGGCGGAAAACCAATTCTCCTCACACATGAAGCCCGCCTCATCAGGGTCAAAGGCTTCCATCTTACAATTTGCTTGGAATCAGGGAAGATGCCCCTAGTTCTTTGGGAGCCACATGGCAAATACAGCTATGTGCATTTGTACTCACACATTGGTACGCGGAGACATGCGCATATATGTCTACATGTGTATACATACAGATATATATATATATATATGTGTGTGTGTGTTTATCATACATACCATATAACATATGTAAATATATATATATATATATATCCCCAACAACGTGAGGCTCATTTGGAACCGGCCCCCAAGCGGCCCGCCCCACGCATCCCCGGAGCTCGAAACTGCCCGCTCCATCCCCGGAACCCTCCTCGGACCCGTTCATCCGCCGGGAACTCTCCTCGGAACCGCCCCCCCCTCCGTGCGTCGCCCACAACTTTCCTCGGAACCCTTCTCCACCCCGGACCCTGCTGGGCAAAGACCCCATAGCTTTCAGCGGTTGGGGAATAACAGTGCATTGTATAAACAAACAAAAACCTACACATACACATAGATTGGCTCATTCCTACTCGTTCCTCGCTCGAAATCCTCCAGGCTTCCAGGCTCCGCTGGCAGCGCTTCCAGGATGGGCGCGGACACCCGCTCGATGAAGTTGGCCTTTGG